AGCATCATCTTTACGTCCTGGAGCCATTCTACTAATATCGCAATAAAAATCAAGAACTTTGCAATTAACACCGTTCAAACCGGCGTAGTCAGGGCCTGATTCTGTAATATTAGAAAGTAGTATGTTTTCACGTTTACAAATTTCTTTTAAAAGGTATTTTATTTGAATCAGAAGGTAATGCTAAATTAATTTTTTTTAAGTGTCTTTTCAAAACTCTGCGGAAACTTCAAGGGTTGTTCAATATCAGATGTAGATTGGTTTACCTCTCATTTTCGCTTCTTTCTTTTGCGATCTTTTTGACGTACTTCCTTCTTTTCTTTTTCGCTCATGTTAGCTCTTTTATTTTTTATTCGATTAGTTTCAGCAATCCAATATTCTGGATGTTTCTTTCTAAACTTTTTCTGAACTATTGAATTCTTTGTTCATTTTAATTCTAAATTCTTTTAAGCAACTGTTTTCTATCTAACTAAGTTTTACTCAAACTAATTAATTAGCAAATATGCTATTTAAACGTTAAAAAGCTAAAGAAAAATAATTATCACGCACGGATGATCATGCAAAAAAACAATGCTAAAATGTTGTAAAAGAAAAAAAAATTTGTCATTCAATTCAGTAACCTAACAAAACGTAAAGTAAAAAAAATCACTTTAATTGAAACTTTTTAACAATTCTTTTTTTCTAAATAATTAGATCTTTAAAATCACGCACGGAAATTCAAAACCCTGTTCTCTTTGGCATAAAATTTTAGATACCTTCAAGATACTTAGTTGCAATTTATGATAATGAAATATTAAAAGACATCATTATCTTTAAGAATCAAAAAAATCTGGGTCATGAAATCAATTTTAAATGTTATAAACACATGTAATAAAATTTTTTGTTTTTTTTTCTTAAATATTTTATTTATTTATTGCGAACTTTGAATAATTAAGACATGAAGAAACATTTGCCTTCTTTTTTTTTTTTTTTTTCTCTTAGATAAACAAAATATCACTTATTTTCTTTTGAATTCCATCTTCCGAATTAAAAAAATATTTGTTTCAAAGTTTCATTTTTTTTGACTCACTGGAATGGAAATGCCCTACTGTGATTCTAACTTACACTGTCATTTGTGTAGATTAGAAGGTTTTGAATTCATATAACTGCTTCTTTTGGAGCCAAAGTGCACTAATCCCTTTAATAACTTTCAGTTACCTAGTGTTTTGAAGAAACTTAACCTAGCATTGTGTGGTAGAATGCAAAAAGTATAAAAGAAAAGTGAACCAAACATTTAAAAATATATTCAGCATTGAAAATAAATAATATATGCAGAAATTCATGATTAACTAAGCAACAATACTACCTATTATTTAAAATGACATTCTGAGGTCCCTTACGAAAAAAGAATGTCCTAAATATTTATCTAAAGACATGAAAACTGTATTAAAAAACTACTAAAACTTTTTGGCAATCTAGCAGGAATATTTTTTTAACTCTAAAAAGTAAAAAAAAGTATATGCTAAAATATTTGGAGCTTAGCAGAATCTTAAAAAACACTTAACATTCTGAGATCCCTTTACCTGTATATATCAAATTAATTGCAAAATTAGCTTAAGTTTGCAAAGTTTGCATCTCTTTATTGTGCTAGCCACTTTCTTACTCCAGATTCTGTCCTTGTATTGAATATTGTTGCCATATCTAGAGTTGCCATATCAAAATATTTATCAAAAGCAACAGTTTTTCAGTGTCTTAAAATTGCAACTGTAATTACTGAGTAACCAACAAGTATTTATACAACAGAACGTATTTAACAAAGCAATCCATTTCAAAGAATTACGCTGATTATAATAAATGAATTAGAATAATGAATGGATTAAAATAACCCTGAACAAGAATTGACATTACACAATATTCATTTTTGTAGTCAACTACTACTAAGAGCAACATTACAACAAGATATAAAGTTTTTTTAGTTAATGGCACATTTTATGTTGTTTATGTCAAAATAGGTAATTTGTCTAATTCTTTGAAATAATTGGATTACATAATGACAAAATTTTACAAAAAAAGATAAAAAAAGTTGAAAATTTGAGTAAAGCTTTTCTACTAGGCCCAGTCTCTGTAAGATTCAAAATTAAAAACAACACTTTTTTTTAATTGCTGTATAATATTCCTTCATTTCTATCTTATTATATGGTAAAAATATATTTCCTAACTGATTTGTTTGAATGAAAGTAACTTGTGTTATTTTCTATGAAAATTCTTAAATATACTACTTGTATCTCAAATGAATATTTACATTATAGGTGCTTTTTATATTATTTTTTAAATACTTTAGATGTCTAAAAGTAAAAAAAAGGTCATATCCAAATGAATATATGAGATATCGTTTAATCTACATGCTTAAAGCTACCCATAATGTATTATTTGCTATGAAGTACTCAACTCTCGGAATTAAGGTTGGCATCAACCTAACTGCCGACCTAAACATGTTTGCGGTCTGCAAAAAAAATTTGGTTATGCCCACCTCATTTTGATATTTTATGGTAAGACCTTTGTATTTGCCAACCTGATGCCGAACTCTAAAAGATTGAGGTCAGCAAATTATTGCCAACCTCAATTTTCCTAATTCCGAGGGTTGAGTACTAGGAAATGACTCTATTAAACCTTCAAAGCTTGCTACTCACTTGAATAAGAGCCATCCTGATCTTTGATCAAATAATACTGATTTTTTCAAAAGAAAATTAGAAACTGAAGAGATGTAAGTTGGATAAAACTGGGATTATTCACCAAACTCAACAGAGTATTGTAGAAGCATCTTAAAAGGTTTTATATTTAATAACACAAAACAAAAAAGTTCACACATTGGCTAAAGAAGTTATACTTCCATGTACAAAAGAAATTGTTAGATTATTATTTAAAGAAGAAACTCTACTACTACAATCAAACGAAGGCTAACTGACATTTTATCAAATGTTAAAGAAAATGTTATTAATGAAATTTAAGAATCACTATATTTTTCAATTTAGTTGAATGAGTCCACAGATGTAAGTTCAATGGCACAATTAATTGTATTTTGTAGATATATTTACAGAAACAAATTTAAAGAAGAATTTTTGTTCTCTTCTTTTCTCAAAACAACAAACAAAAGTAGGTGATTTTAACAGAAATTTTAAAACAGTTTATAAATGACAATCAATTACAATTTTTACACTGATCGATGTCTTGCCATGATGGGTTGTAAGTCTGGATTGCAGACTAGGGTGAAATAGATTGCTCTAAATGTAGTTAGTATACACTGTTTTTATTTATAGACAGGCTTTGGCAATCAAACCTTTACCAGGTAGTTTGAAAGCTGTATTTAATCAATTAGTCAAACTGGTCAATAAGATCTTCTGTTCTTCACACTTTTTACTTCACTTCAAAATAGCAGCAGCTTCACATTTTTTACTTCACTTCAAAATAGCAGGATCACTTCAAAATAGCAGCATTAAATAACTTCTGGTTGAATATGAGGAATTTATATCTATTGTGTTCAAATAAGATCTTCTGCTCTTCACACTTTTTACAAAATTTTGCCCTGACCTAGATACTAAACACAATAAGTTATTATTTTATACTTTAGTGCAATGGCTATCAGATGGAAACTTTTTAGCTTAGAAATAAAGTGAAAAAACTATCATGTCAAATGAAAAGTAGATTGAATTTGGAAATTTTGAAATAACAGCTGCTTATCTTGTGTACATTGTGGGTCTTTTTAACAAGTTAAATTTGCAACTTTAAAGTAAAAATGCTAATGTCATTATCATTTTTGCCTTGAAACTCAAATAAACTGAAGTTCAAAAGCTCGATCTATATAAGACTAAAATTAATAATGGAAATTTGATCATGTTTCAAAATTTAAATAACATAATTGGAAATAACATGCTTCAAGAAGTTATAAAGACAGTTTGTAATAATAATAAAAATAGTAAAAAAAAAAAATTATAAAAATAGTTTATCATTTAGATAATTTGATTAATGAATTAACTATTATTAATGAACTAACTATTTTCCAGATGTGAAGCAGTAAAGCTATTTTATCACCATTTTCTTGTGATGTAAAAAATAAGAAAGTGGAAACACAAAAAGAACTTATAGAAATAAAGAATGATACCACAGCTTCAAAAGGATCACTTCAAAATAGCAGCATTAAATAACTTCTGGTTGAATATGAGGAATTTATATCTATTGTGTTCATCAATTTAAAGCCTTTATTCCTTTTTCAACATCATATTTGTGTGAAGCCTCGTTTTCAGTCATATTATCTCTTAAAACTAAAAAAAGCAATAGACTTGATATTGATGCAGATATTAGATGTGTTCTATCAAAAACTAAACTAAATTTTCAGATAACAACTCTGATAAGAATTTACATGTTTTTGTATCATATATTAACTAAGTTAAAATACTTTTGTATCATTGATAGTCTAGTCTATTCATAAATACCTTGAATAAAATATTATCTTGATGAATAAAAATTACATTATTAAAATGTTCGCCTTGATATAATTTTTAAAAGCAAAGAAGTCCATAAAGATTTTGTGATATATAATTTGGGAAACACGTTATAAAAGGTTAGGGAACCACTGTCTATGCAATTAATTATAAAATTCAAGCAAAAAAGGTGATTGCCTAATTTTAATATTCACTAAAATTTAAGAAATTCAAAAAAAAAAAAACTGATTGCCCTATGAGTGAAATTTTTTTTAACAAAAAACATAGTTTATAAATAAAATATTTATTAGAAACTAAAAATGTAAAAAATATCAGAAATTATCATAAAATACTGTGAATAAAATAAGAAAATAGATGCAGCTTTAAACAAATGCATTACATTAGAATTAATTCTGTTACATTTTAAATACCTATATGAAATAGCGTGAATAAAAACAAAAAACAAAAAAATTACTGAGTAACCAATAGTAACAATAAAATATTCTGATCATTTATATAAAATGTACAATTTAAAAATATAATTACTACTCGGTACATCTACAACAACATCACCATCAGGTTCCAGCTGCAAGCTTGCTATTCTTTCATTATTTGAATATTTCCATTTCAAATTAGCAAACTGAAGATTTTCAAGATCACTAGATGCTATTTTCCAGTCCAAAAGTACATATGAATTGTTAAAAGCATTAATTGTATCTGGTGGAACAGTAGAAAACCCTAATTGGGCATGTCTGAGATAAACTAAATTTAAAATAAGTATTAAAGTTTTTATTTTATAATTCTAATTTGCATTTAAATATAATGTAAAATATTGTGTGAAACATAAAAATATTTTTTTTTTATTTTCTAATTTTAATTTGCATTTAAATATAATGTAAAATATTGTATAAAACATAAAAAAAAAAAATTTAATTTTATAATTCTAATTTGCATTTAAATATAATGTAAAATATTGCATAAAACATAAAAATATTTTTCACAATGAAATCTTTAAATTGGAACACATCGATATCAGAAATAATCTTTGAAAATTACAATCTTCAAATAAATTACCTTGAGATGCCCCAAGAACCTTAAAAATCACAAAATTTCTTTAAAAGATGATTAACCAGTAAGAAAATGATAAAGAAAACATTATTTTAAAATTAGTTTATACCCATACATCAAAAAAGAGGGTTTAGGTTTTAGGTCAGATTTTCTTGAATATTTTTATGGAACTTTTATCAGTGACTATTCAGGATATCTAAAAGCCTAAAAAACCTAAAGGTTTTTGAATAGTGATTTTGTGTGTTTCCTGCTAGCTTTTCATAATATGAAAGAACCACAGAATGGTTAGTTCTAACTTTGGTCATCGCATCGTTTTTTTTTTCTGGATCAAAGAGGTAACAAATTACCTTGTGATCCTCTTCCTACAAAATATTAGTTTTAATTTTGAAAAATTATTATTAAGATCAGGATTCTTTCATATCATAATGTTTTTGTCCAAATCGCATTAATGCTTGGTAAGGATTTTGCTTTCTGTAAGCCATTACAAAACTGAACAGCTTGGTTAACTGACAAACATAAACTCTTAACACATCAATTGACCATTTTTTTTCCTTTTTTATGGAATTTTTTATGGAACTTTTATTAGTGACTCTTTAGAGTCACTAATAAAAGTTCCATAAAAATATTTGGGAAAATCAGACCTAAAACCTTAAACCTCTTTTCTTGATGTGTGTTCCTTGGCCTGGAATAGTCTAATCACATAAAATGTTTTTGAGATATATTGATAATTGTATTGAGGTACCACATTAAGTTTAAAAAATATCTATAATTATTGTTATAGGGTTCCTAAAGTCCCGAGACAAGTTGTGTTCATATTAAAAAGAACAATAAAAAAAAATGTTTGGGCAGAATTTTTTCAAGTAAAACAATATAATAAATGTATACCAAAAAAAAAAAACTTTGTTGTTTTACCCAAAACTTGGCGTCTCCATGTTAGTCAATCTCTTAAAGTCTTTAAAATATACACCACAATCTACAGACTTCATTTATTCAAGCGTATTAAATTCCAAAGAGTTTTAGTAAATGATGTCAATGTAGAATTTTTTTTCTTTTGAATCAATATTATTTGTTTGTGTTTTATTTGTTTTTTAGATAAGCGTTTACCCATCATATGACTTTCCTATAAATTTTATAAGAAGCTAAAAAATACAATATTTTTTTATAGGGCCCGAGAAACAAATAAGTTTAAGATTTTTATGTTAAAGTATAATTAAGATTTAAAAATGACATTGATCACCTTATTACATATTCTGAATCTTTTTTCTTTTTATGTAAATAATGTGAACTTTTTTCTAGTTTAGCCCGTAAATCACTATGATGTTGAATTTTAGTAAACGACGTCATTTATTAAAAATATTTGCTGAATTCTTAAATTTTTAGATAGAAAACATTTATAGATTTTACACTTAAAAAATTTACAGACAGCTTTTTATTAATTAAAATAATAATTAATGTTTTATTGCAATAATTCAAGACAGATGGCGATTAAAAGTGTCAATATGTTTGAGAGCACATGAAAAAACATATTTAATATTTCCCAATTTATGTCATATTTGGGAAGTATTTTAAATTAAAACCTTTCTCTTAATATCAAAAATCAAAAAACTACCAATATCGACAATAAAAAGTTTTTCATTAATTAATTTCAATTTAAAAATTTACTCGACAATGCTACACTTTTTTTCTAATCTTGACCAAGAATTGTTGAATTTTAAAAATAAAATAAGCAATACATGTTTTACAGAATAAATTTCATTAAATATATTCTCGCATCATTAATTTAGAACTTCAAGAATACTTGTACCCGATGGAAAGTTTAGCAAATAAGCCCTGTTAATAAACTTTCATAAGGTTAATTAAACTTTTATTTCATTTTCTTTCGCTACCAGCTATTTTAACATAAAATCTTTAAGCTGGGACTGCACATTTTTTTGAATAAAATTTGGCATAAAAGTAACAAATAATTAAAATTCGAATAGTAAATCTCTTTAAAAGCATAACAAACTATATATCAGTAGAAAGTTAAACAAATGGACTTTTTAATTAAATAAGTTTTTAACATGCATCATTGAACAATAAGAAATGCAAAGTGCTTACAATCATTGTTTTATAAATCAGGCTTGGCCTGGAAGGCATGCCATTCCAATTCTTTATATGATCACGAAAATATTTAGTTATGATGATTTAAGTTTTTAACAAATGCGCTGAAAAAATTGGTTTTCAAATCACTGCTAGTGCTATTTTATAAAAAAATAAATGAATGATATATATTTTTTTATATTTATATAAGTATTTATATTTTGTTATATTTTTAAATTAAAAAAAAAATTATATTAGTTTTTCAAATAAATAATTTAATTATTTTTTCTTTTGTGTCAAGAATTGTTAAGAATCTTTTTTCAAACTTTTATATGTGCGCGTTTATTAAACAATCGCCAGTTGTATGTTTTTGAAAGTCAGTTGGTGTTATTTAAAAAGGATTTTGCATATATTATATTATAAAAACATTAGTAAAGATAAACAATCAAAAGTTATTTATTTTAAATGCAATTTAGATAATCTTATCGTTATAGTTTATTATTTACTTTAGTTAAGTTTTGATTTTATTTTTGCTATTTTTAGTTATGGTTAAGTTGTTTTTATTTTGTTTTTGTTATTTTTTTTTACGAAGATTTATTTGCTTCTTTAACGATAAGTTTTTATTTTCAGTTTCTTTTTAGTTAAACAATTTTTTAGTGCTTTTTTAAAATTATTATTATTATTATAGTTTATGCTGTAGCATCGCCAGCAAGTGTGAATTGCACACCATGACAGCCTATCAAATAGCAATAAAAGTTTTCATAAATATTTGTAATTTATCACTTATGTATTGTATTATAAATTTTTTTAAAATTCCTTCAAAGATTTTGCGTTTACAGCTTCTGCCGGCAGAGAATTCCATAAGGGTACGTTTTTATTTGTTATGAAGTTATGTCTTATTGCATTGCTAATAATTTCCATATCGTATCTAAACTTGTGACCTCTCGTATTTAAATTTTTAAATGATGATGGATTGACAAGTTCAATTTTTTCTATTTCTCTTTTTTCTATTTTTCTTTAAACATTTTGTACATCTGTATCATGTCTCCTCTGGATCTCCTCTGCTTCAGGGTCGTTAAATTAAGTTTGACGAGACGATCTTTTTATTAACAGCTGTGGTCAAGTTAAGTAAAATCAAATAGTATTTGTGTGGTCATATTATGACGTTAAATTGCACGCCTTCCTGGCCAAGCCTGATAAATAATAATTAAAACAAGTCCAAAACAAAACACTTCAAGTCCAAAACAACTCATCAAAAAGAATGTTTTTCAAGACGAAAAAATAACATTTATAATTACTTACCTAAATACCTATACACTTCTATAAGTTGAATTTTACAGTGTTAACGCTTCTTTATTTTAGAACTAAAATTAGAGAAGTTTTTTTAATCAAGGATTACTCAAGATTTTTTAACTTTGTCAAGTGATAACTCTTTATAATAACACAACATGGCTCTTATTTGATCTTGATTATGTTTAGAATTAACTAAACCTTAAGAAAAAACAAACTATGTGTCTAGAGTGAAAATTTATGTACAAAACAAGATAAATTGTGAAGCATAATCAAAAGCTGCTACCAAGTTGCTATATACTCAAAAGCTGCTACTAGCAGCTTGCGGTCAAAATTTGAAAAAATCAAAAGCCGCAGTCAGTGGCTTGCGGTACTGTTAAATAATACAAAATAATTTTTTTTAACAGAATCTTAATAAGGATAATAATCATTTAATAACAATAAATATAACACAAAAAAAAATAATTTATAGCAATAAACGAGCTTAAAATATCTGAAATATTTTATTCATATTTTTAATGCAAACATCGCCAAATTTAGAAAATATAATAAATAAAGAAATTCTACATTAACTTATCATGAAAAAAAACTTTTATATAAAAGTAACTAAACAAATTCTTTAGTAATCTATAATAATAATAATAAAAAATTTTATAATTTGATTTAAAAAAAAAAATTATAACGTCTGTAGATTGTGTCGAATATTTTAAAGACTTTGAGAGATTGACTAACATGGAGATGGCGAGTTTCAAGTAAAACAACAAAGTCTTTTTTCTTTTTGGTATACATTTATTATTTTGTTTTACTTAAAAAAAAATTCTGCCTGAACATTTTTTTAAATCATTCTCTTTAAAATGAACACAACTAGTCTCAACACTTTGGGATCCATATTTTAAATAGCACCCATATTTAAAATTTTTAAACATGACTGCAGCCATGTTTGGACAAACAAATATTTTGTACTTGAGATAATTTCATTATGTGCCTTGTTTGTCTGGAGAAAATTGCTGTTAAGTTAAAATGTGAACAGAAACTAAACTATAAAATATGCTGCAAGGTATGATACATTTGAAGACCAATTTTGTATTGGCAACGTAGAATTGCTTAATAAAAATGTTCTCAGGCAACAATCAGTAATAAAAAGTAAAATATTTATTTCATGCAGTGCAACTAAAATAAATCTTTTAGTTGCAGAAAGAATTGCAAATAATAGAAAACCTTTTTATACTGGAAATTTGGGTAAAAGGTTGCTACATCTGTCCAACAACATCTGTGGAGTAGTCCAATATCATTCATTTATACACTTTTGTCTAAAATCATCTGTATTTTTTTTTACTCTAATAACATCTGTCCAATATCATCTGAAAATTCAATGACCCCTAACAACATCTTTAGAAAAATGTAACTACATCTGGTAATTTTTCGCCAAGTCTAATAAAATCTGGAAGAATTTCCTCCAGATGTAGTTACATCTGAAAAATTGCTATATGTAATAACATCTGGTAAAATAATGCATTATTAGTTAACTTAAAATCTACAGATGTAGTTGCACAGATGTTATTACACTTTGATAATTTAAAAGATGTAACTACATCTGTAAAATTCATTTAATTTTTGCACAGATGTTATTAGACAACAATGAAACTTTAGATGTTGTTGGACAGATGTTATTTTACTTCATTATATTAACAGATGTTGTAAGACAGATCTTATTAGACATGGTTAAAACTGATGTTGTTACCCTGACCCAAAATTTGATTAAAAACTTAGTAAAATTATTTTGTAATGAGATATGTCCTGAAAAAACAATTTTTGTTGAAGATAGCCTTTCGCATCAGACTATTACTAGTTTAAAATCTAGCAAACAATAATGAATTATCATTTAAAGAAAAATTAAATAATTTTGAAGCATATAGTCTGGTGCTGGTAGAATCAACAGATATGCAATAATGCTCAGTTAGCTATTTTTATCAATGGTGTAAAAGTGACTTGTAACTAGTGATTTGTAACTATTGACTGCTTGAAGATTGTGGTAGTAAGGTTGGAAGTTAAATTATTTTTGTCAAGTTGGGCTTAGTCGAGTTGCAACTTTAAAATGATTTGGAATGTTATTACCTGAAATAGTGCAGTTTCTAAAAAGAAAGGTAAAGACACATGTTTGCTTGAAAATATTGAGTGATTGACTTAATAATTTTTATTGGCAAAACTCAGATGCTAATGGAATTAAATGACAAGTTGCAGGGTAAAGATCAACTTATTATTAAAGTGTTTGAAAATGTAGAACTTTTTGTTTTAAATATGAAATTTCTGAAACAATAATTAAGTTTTACAAATTATTTGTGCATTTCAAGACATTATCAGAAAGAAACACTGTTGACTCTGAACAATATTGTAATCTCGTTTGGTTTTAATTAATAAATTTGACACAAGATACTGTAATTCAAAAAAAGAAGAGGAGTAAGACTTATTTACATATCCATATTATGTTAAAGCTGAGACTGTTAAAGATGAATTTCAAATGGAATCGATAGAATAATGAAACAGTAAATTTAAAGAAGCTTATAAAGAAGTAAAGTTAATAGAATTTTATAAAAAATACATGAACATTATACACATTAATGCATACATTCTGTAAAATATTTTTCACTCTATGGAAGCACTTACAACTGAGAACAAATTATTTCATAATTTTTGCAAAAAACTGTTCTCAGTTGTAAGTGTTTCATTTTTGTCAAAATTGAAGCATGCTAAAACAGTGCAGAGAATTAGATTAAAAGATGAATACTGTTCTGACACACTTTGAATTTTTTTACTGAATATAATATATATAAATACTGGCCCTTACTGAAAATAGGTTGGACAACGCTGGCTTAGTAGACGAAAACAAGCTGACAGAATTATTTTAAGTGCAGGTCAATTCACATATTCAAAAAAAGCTATTTTTAAATTGTTACATACTCAATGTTTTTCAGTTATATCCTTTTCAAATTTTTATTTTCATGTACAAATTATTTATATATTATTTAGTACACTTTTCAATAAAATTAATCACCCTACAAGATTTTCAATGTACAACTATATCTACTTAAAATTATTTTTTAGCTACCAAATTTTTTATTCCCATCAGAGTCTGATGGCAATAGAAAATTTGGTAAGTACTTTGAAAACCTTGACCTCTGATTCAGAGGTCAAGGTTTTCAAAAAAAAAACTCAAACAAAATCTTAATAACGATGTTAATTAATAAAAAAAAAAAAATTTTCTTTTTTTTTTTAACAACTATCTTATTAACTTGTCTATAAATTTTTTATAAATTATCTAATTAACTTATCTTGAATTTTTTTTTAATTTTCTTTAAATTATCCAATTAAATTATCTGATACTATATTTCCAATATATAACCACATAATTATCTAATTATCTTTAGTTTTTAGGTTTGATTATTCTTTATTTTATTTTTACTATTTTCTTTTTATTATAGATTAACATACTTATATGTGACCTCGCGGTAGAAAAGGGAACAGATAGGATGAATGAGTAATTCATACCACAGAAACAAGCTAATTAAACTCAACAAAATGACACCAAGATCTTTAAAATAGCTCAACTGGATCCAAAGTTATTATTTTTTGTATTCTAAAGTTTAAAAACGGCAACTGTTGGGAAAATCAATTTATAGTTTTAATAAAAATGTTATTTCCACTATTTTCAGAAAATGTTAAAAGTTATACCGTCAACCGGGGTGACTCCGGACAATTTTCGAAGAAAATATTAAACTGTTTCATTAAAATCAATACAAAATGGAAATATTTTTGTGGAACGTACCACTGTAATTATAAAGAACGTGAAGAAATTTTGGCTTTCAGCTTTCCAATATGTTATTAGCATAAAAAAACGGTTTAAAAATCAAAAAATCAAAATCGGGAAATGGGGTGACTCCGGACACTTGAAGCTTGAGATTTTAAAAGTTGAAATTTCAACATCAAGAGTTTTAAAATGAATGTATAACTATGTAAAAAAGCTGCTTAATTAAGCAATTAATTTTTTATTTCAAATAACAAAACAAAAAACAACAGCTATTGATAAACTATTTCAAATATACATATAATAATGATACAACTACAATGATTAATTATGAAGAATCAATTACTAATCTTTCTTATTTTGTTTAAATTATTGACAACTGTAAAAGTAAATCATATACAAATCATTATCTTTTAAAAAAATTTAATAAAATTTATAGTTTTGGGCATACAATGCAATCAGTCGACATGGCATTTTCCAAACACTTTGAATGATACCAACGACCACAACGTTCACAACCAGTCCAATCAATTAAAATTTCTTCTTCTTCTTCACTGATTTCATCGTTTTCGTCATTATCATCTTTTCCACAGATGAAACAAAGATCAGTTTCAATATCTTCAACGACATTTAAAACTGCCCCAGATGCAATGTTCAACTTATTGCCCCTGGGTTTTTTTGTTTCACATGCACCACGATGATACATTAGCAAAGTTGTAACCGAATCGTTTAAAAGGGATGCTGTTGATGTACCAGGTTCCTTGTATTCAGGAATTCTTTTTAAAACCTTTATACGGTTTATTGGATAAAGTCCGCATGTAATAAAGCCAGAAACCAAATTCTGACACACTGTGTCTTGCAACTTAAGTGATAAACTTTTTAATAGAACTGGAAAATGTTCTTTGGGAAAGCATCCAGTTTTTCTGCTTTGTTTTCTCCACTCATATAATACATGTTTCCAACAACGCTTCATTGGACCAAAGACAGATACATCTAATGGCTGCATTAAATGTGTGTCATTTGGTGGCAACATAGCAGAGTAAACATTATGCTCCTTAGCAAGTTTAATAACGTCTGGATTAAAATGAGAGGCCAAGTTATCTCCTAAAAGAAGCTTGGGTCCATTTAAATTCTGAACGTTCGGCAAGAAGCATTTTTCAAACCACTTGGCAAATGTCTCCATATCAAACCAACCTGATTTTGTGCAACTGTATATTGTTCCTTGTGGCCCTCCTGTTACCCAACCTTTATAAACGTTCGATGCTCTATAAACTACCATAGGTGGTTGTAGTACTCCTGAAGCAGAGCCACACCACATAAGAGATATAGAAGTTTTACTATGTTCTTGAACGTTTTCCACTCGTCGTCTTCCTCTTCGAACTAAAACAAACTTTTTTCCAGGATCATCTGAAAGGTTTGTCTCATCGAAGTTAAATATGTTTGAAGGTTGAATACCACCAAGAGATTCATAAGTTCTTTCAAATTCATCAAAAAAATTATTTATCATTTCTACTCCTAACTTTGATCTCGATTGTTTAATATTTGAAGCATTTCTTCCAGAAATATTGTTCCGTTTCATAAAAGAATTTAACCAGTCATTTCCAGGTATCTGCAAATTGAAACTGTTTGACCCATTGCGATTTTTGAGGAAATCAAAAGCCATCATTCTGACTTCTAATCTTCCAATAGGAAAGCCCCAATCGGCTACAGCTTCTAGCATTTGAGCAATGAGTACCTCATCTGCTTTGCTTATAATTGTCTGGCCTCCAACCTTCTTTAAGGTGGGTTTTCTAATGTGATCATGCAATGTTGATTTTTTGGCTTTATGCTTATCAGCAGCTTTTCGAATACTCATGCCTTTACTGTGATCTTCTATAGCTTTTTTTATATCTTCTTTAGAGCTTGTTCCATACAACACTTTTAAGTTTAGTTTACGTTTGTAGTTTCGCGCCATCACTAAAAGAAACTGAAGTAGAACAATAAGTAATGCTCTGTCCGGAGTCACCCCGCTGTCCGAAGTCACCCCGGTTGACGGTACTAATTTAAAGTACATTATAATGTAATTCAAATTTGTATAACTTTCAACATTTTCCAAAAATATTTAATATTACACAACATCATTTTTTACATCATTTTAAAATTTCAAGGGAAAATAACCATTTTACATCATTTAAAAAATATTTTATATCAGACAACATTTAATATTAGACAACATCTAATATTAGACAACATCCTTAATGAAAATAAACAATAAAACAAGGCTAGCGGTAATTGCCGGCAGTGCCGGCAAATAATTTCGCGCGTGGAAAGAAGCAATTTGAATGTAATAATTACAGTAATTTGGTTAGTTTGTTAGCTTTGTTGTTAGAAAAACAATTTAAATTATGTATGTATTTATTAATTATATATTTATTTATTTAATTTACTTTTATAACTTTTTTTTTTTTGTAATTTGGTTAGTTTGTTAGCTTTGTTATAAGAAAAACAATTTAAATTATGTATGTATTTATTAATTATATATTTATTTATTTAATTTACTTTTATAACTTTTTTTTTTCGCCAGTATTAATTATATACTGCAGTATTTTAATTATATACTACCTGCACAAACCAAAACTCTCACTCAATCTATGTACACTCTATACAGGTCTAACCCTATCAAAGTCACGCATAATTTGAAAATCTCAGTGCAAGAAAGTCATTGATTCATTTGTTCTATTTGAAAGTTAAATTTAGCATGACATTGTTTTTTTTAAATTCCCATTGAACTTTCACTTATTATCCTCTTAATCATACCCTGGTTAAGTCGAACTGTTCGTTAACTTGTACATTTTTTTTGGTTCCATTTGACAAAAAGTTTTGTCTAACTAGGACTTTTACTTATAGAGGGGGTGGTTTTCATTTAAATTCACTTTTACACTAATAATGACCAGGGACGTATCCAGAGGGTGATGGGGCTCAAGCCCCATCACCCCTTCTGGATCCGCCCATGGTCATTATTAGTGTAATAGTGAATTCAAATCACTATAATAGGTATACTTAAGCATACGGGTATTTAAATCATTCAGCAAAATGCAACATTATCGCCAAGCAGATAAGGGACCTCAAGGGGTCAAAATTTTAAAGTACACATCAAAGTATTTTTTGGGATGTATTACACAGCAGAATGAATTTATTGTATTACATGATTGTATGACGTCATTTATACTAATAAATAATAGTAAAACTTACAGAAATTCTGTTTTTTAATAAAATTTTAATGAATTTAAATGAAAAACAAAAAATGAAAAAATGCTACCGATAAAAATAGTAAACACATGAGCTTATCCAAACAAACAATGTATTTTTATGCCACCTAGTGATTAAAAATGAATGATACAAAAGGTAGAGTTTATAAAGTACTGTTTAAACTAACCAAAACCAAAATGCAAAAGAGAGAGCTAGAATTCTTTAAAATTCTCCACTCCAATTCCTTTTAAGGAACTTTTTCAAACGCTCAACTAGAATTAAACGAACGTTAATATGACCAAAATAATCAATTCAGTTAATAGTCTGATAATCCATCTATCAAATTTAAATAAAAACAGAAAACTTAAACACCACAGGTCACGGTGTTTAAACGTGATTTTCTCAGATACTAGATCCCACCATGTGGTCCCTTTTCTACCGCAAGGTCACATATATAATTTTTAAATGGTACAAAGAAATGGCGTGTTTGCCTTTTTACGCTTGCTGATGAAAGCACGTTGAAGTATAATAATAAAACAAATGTTTTTTTTAACTGGCCAAAAATACAATCGTTGTATTTATGTGGATATTAAGCCTTAATTGATAATAATTAATTTTCATGTAGGTTTACAAGCCTCTTGGATGTGTGATATATAAGATCCTGTAGTTTAACTTGGCCTTTGTTTCAGTAATTTCAATGGATTTTTTTAAAGGTGAGCACTCGTTTTTTATTTCGGAAATTACTCGAAAAGAATTCTGCATGGTGCTTCTTTATGATATTTTAATAAACACTTCTTGAAAGTTTGTTATCTAAAAAATATGCAAAAGCTTCTTCAAGCGTCATTTTTTCTTGCAATGTGGTTAGCTGAGTGTAAAGCAATAACGATTCGTATAGTTTTCTTTGTAACGACACTAAGTAGTTTGACTATATTAAAGTCACGTTTATTAAATGCTGTTCTTTGTGCCACTAACAATATTTTTTTGTCGGATTCCGTTTTTGAATCAAATGATATATTTGCTATAAATCGTCAAATGATATATTTGCTATAAATGTGTAACTTTCAGAAAAAGCAATTAATTAAATAGTCACTCACAGGTGTGGCGCTTTTTGTACGTTTTATCAAGCCATCTGGCCAAGAATTGCGCTAGTCTACTAACTACATATTTCTTAAGCCTGGGAATCGGAAAAGTACGACCGTACGAGTGGAGTGTTACATTGTTACTTTATTTTGAATGTTACAATTCAGATTTCACACATGTATGATTCATACATAAACAACTATTCATTGATTTTTATTTATTGTTTTTTTTCAATAGGTATTTATTTGCAAATCACTATAAATAAATAGTTAAATTAAGGTCACATTTTGAAAATGAAATTTAAAGAAATTCACTTAATGTAATTAAAACAGAATGAATTAGTTTTATTTACTTTTCACAAACGCCTTTCTTGCTTTTTGTTCTGAAAATGAGGCAATTATATTTGAAAAAGCCAGTTTTCGTGCAATATCGCAATTTATATTTAGCATAGCAAGTCCATTCAACTGTTCCTGCCCCATAGTTGAACGATGATAATTTTTTACCTACTTTAAAACATTAAATTTGGG